CAGCTAGCTCCAGGCTAACACTTGTTACCCACAGCTAGCTCCAGGCTAACACCTGTTACCCGCAGCTAGCTCCAGGCTAGCCTGTGGTCACACAGCCAATACTGTTGTGTATGTGTACACCTAGTCTTTAATGTGATATTAGCCATGTGAGCTGGGGTGACTATAAACACCTGAAGCTGCCCATCTGTCTGTTAGAACTGAAGAAGAACCTCGGATGATGGTGAAACATCTTCAGGAAGCTAAGTGTTGAGGATCATGATGAGCTGATGACTGAGAAGCTACACAGACTTCAGGAAGGTCAGCGTACTGCTAACAGTGATTACCTTAGCATGATACCAGCGAATACTCCCTGGTCTTTGAGGCACATTAGCCCTTGACTGGCACAAGTACAGCCCAGTTTGGTTCTAGTTCAGTTCAGGTGAGCACCAGGTGTGTCCACCTGTATCAGCTATCTAAGGGTCCAGGTTAGCTCAGTTCCTGTCCTGGTCTTCATGCTGTCACCATGTGCGGGTCTCCTGATTGGCCTTGTCATTGTGGCTCATCTCTGATTGGCTCGAGGAGCATTCTTTGGGCGGATCCTGAGGGAGAGTTCCCATAACGCCTCCTCCGCCAGGTGATCGCTGAAGTCATTGAAGAAGGAAATGATGTCATCGTTGGGCTGCAGCAAGTAGGGGCTGCAGAAAGGGTTAGGGTTAGGGTTAGTAAACAGTACTAATGCAATACTGCAGTACACAATTACACTACAGCACTGCTGCTGCTGCTGCTGCTGCTGCTGATGATGATGATGATGGTAATACTGATGATAGTACTGCAGGGAACTGACACTTGCTGGTAGCTCCGCAGAGTATCCAGGATGTTAAACTGCTGCCAGCGTTTGGAAAAGTTCACCTTTGAACCCTGTGATGTCATCAAGGTGTCTGGATTCCCCAGGTGGACAAAGGTCAAGTCCTGAAGAATCAAACCCCTGAACACAAAAACAGACAGGTGAGAGAGACAGACAGGCACAGTATCCAACCCCTCTCATTAATCAGATTACTCCTTCAGCAGAGTACTGTCTATGATATCAGATTACAAACTACCAGTTCAGATCCATAGATTAACGTCAGGCTCCACAGCAGGAACTAAACTAAAGTGAGTCCATTTCTGGTTCCTTCAGTCTTCATCTCTGCTGACAGACTCAGTCCTCCTCAGCACGGAGGAGACCAGAGTCCACTAAGTTCTGCTCATATGTTCTGATGGAGNCTGACCCTTCAGGTGTATCTGACCCTTCAGGTACATCTGACCCTTCAGGTGTTACTGATCCTTCAGGTGTTACTGACCCTTCAGGTGCACCTGACCCTTCAGGTACATCTGACCCTTCAGGTGTATCTGACCCTTTAGGTGTACCTGACCCTTCAGGTGTACCTTGTATCTTTGGTTCTTGCAGTCATCAGCTGATCAGAGACTTTTGCATATGTGACAGTTTGGAGCCTGATGAATAATAAAAATAATTTAAGGACCATTAGAACCTTCCCAGCAACCACAAGAACCACATGAATGATCACTAGGACCACCAGGGGGCACAAGAACCACTCTGTTAAGGATCCAAAAACCTTGTACAGCTAAGACTTCTACATCTCCCTGAACGGGCACAAGAACCACCCAAAGAACCAGTGGAACCACCTGTATGTGTGAAAAGGTTCTGCATACGTGCCTACCTGCAGACTGGCCTGGAAGGCGGAGCTCATCAGCTGGTCATGTGGTCCACTGCGGTTCAGGAGGCTCAGGTGGATGTAGAACCAGAACACATAGAGCAGAACAGGAACCACTAACAGGCACACAACTCTACATACACACTGCACACACACACTCAGCTGCGCGTGCGCACACACACACACACACACACACACACACACACACACACTCTACCTTTAAATAACCAGAACACGTTCTCATGGGTTCTGTCATATTGTCACTGATCTGCTGACGACCCAGAAGATAAACGCTGATCACACATGTGGCGTTCAGACATCGGAGTGTCCCTGAATGCACCACCAGCCACACCTGTACAGGTATGAACTGTAGGAGGGTTCTCTCTCTGGAACCTGATCAGCGATTGACAACATTGATCAGCAGCCTCAGTGTGACTCACGTGACTGATAGTTCGGTCTCCAATCAGGTTCCAGGTGTGCAGAAAGGCCACGCCCAGCAGCAGCAGGTAGGAGAACACGCCCATGTACTTCACCCTGACACAGAACACGTTCCACACGTTAACATTCGCTGAGGCTGGATCACGGGACAGAACCGACGGAACACAGACGAGGTTCTCACCCGACAGCCGCAGCGCAGGAGATGCCGCAGAGGAGGAGCCAGATGTAGCGGAACCAGGAGCTGAGGAGAACAAACAGAGGTCCACGATCAATGCTACAGCCACAGCAGGTGGCACGTACAGGTGAGCCTCACCTGGTGGGGGCGTTGTGGAAGCGCAGGTATGAGAAGAACGCCAGCAGCACGAAGAAGATGAGAACGGACTCCAGCAACATGAACCGTGACTGGACGATCAGAGAGTTCTCTGCAGAACAGCAAACACAGCGAAGACAAAACTCAGGCAGAGACAGAAGAAAGTCCAACAGACGCACAGGGTCATCTTCACCTGGGAACCATCGGAACCACAGGCTACACTGGTTCTACTGGTTCTGCTGTGTTCTCAGCTCACCCAGCAGCAGCAGAACGGCAGCTCCTAGAGCCGACAGGTGAGAGAACCTCATCTCCAGAGTCAGCAGGTAAACCAGAGGAACACAGAGAGATCCGCACAGAGCTGGCAGAACCCGTAAGCTCCACACAGTCACGCCGCTGGGATACTCTGTGCAACGAAACAAACACACACTGCTTTAAACTGCTGTGAGCTCATTGTAGTCCACTTTAAACTGGTGTCACTAGTTTCAATCCAGTTTAAATTGGTTTGAAGTGTTTTATAAACTGGTTTCGAACCACTTTAAACTGGTTCACCCTGTTCAAACCAGAAAAGGCTGGTTTTAGCTGGTTTCAAACCAACGGAAAGAACGAACTGAATGTGAGTGAAGACTGGCAGGATGGTCCCGCTTAAAAACAAACAAACTGGTAATAAGAGACTAACCGGTTTGAACTAGTTACTGGCCACCTTCTGGCAACACAAACAACCCACTCAGTGCTCTGAACCAGCTGAAACATGGGTTGAACTGGTTCTTACAGCTTTGAGCTGCCTGAAAGTGGCTGGAAGCAGAGATGCTGGTGTTGGTACCTGCTCCGATTCTGTTCCACACAAAGTTCCCATCGAATCCTCCCAGGTAGGCTGGAACCACAACACAGGAACAGACGTTAGAAGGAAACCCCTTACTGACACGAACACACCTGTCGTCTCACACACCAGTTGACATGGTAACCGACCTCCGAGCGCCAGGATCATGTGACCGAGCGGCGGCCCGCTGTCGTCGATGAAGAAGACTCTCTTCATGTAGAGGGACACAAACTGGCCGTAGTAGACCTCATCGAACCTGCACACAGAAACCGTCAGACACACTGTGGACCCTGGTCGGCTGCATCCAGCTGAGCTCAGGTGGACGAAATACTCACACCACAGCGTTCGGGTAGCTGAGGTGGCTCAGCCTGGTCCAGAGGGCCAGCAGGGAGACCAGAACCAGAACCAGGTCCACCTGAGCCGTCACCACCAGGGGGAGCTGCAGCATTGCTGAGGGACAGAATCATAGAACCACTGAATGTATGATCCAGCATCACATAGCTGAGTCGGGTAGAACATGAACAGAACACAGCAGCAAAGCAGTATCCCTACACAGTAATCAGATTACTTCTGAGTAGCACAGCAGAGTATTTCCTCTGATGAACAGAAACACTTTATAAAGACTATGTTTAAAAGTCAGGCCCTGGTGTAGAAGCTCAGAGAACCACCGTGAGTCCAGCTGTGGTTCCCATCAGTC